ATTTACTTTTGTGTGTTTTTGTCAGGCAGAAATTTATTTATACCCCCTGAGGGTGTAAGAGGTTAATACCTTGTATTTTCTCAGTCAAAGCTTTGAAAATTCATTGCAGGCCTTTTTAGATTGGAGTTGATTGGCCACAGAGAGAGGAGAGGTTTGTTAACCTGTCAGCATACACTTTTAGTATTGGATAGTGTTTTTATCTGATGTGGGATTTAATCTAAAGGGGTGAACATTGCCTTAATTTACCAGGAACTCCATGACTTCTCAATCTGCTGGTCCAAAGTGGTCTGATATCAGATAGCTGATGAAAGTCCATCAAAGATTGCGTGAAACTATTTTTTTTCTGACTTTTTAATGAGAAAAAATCTTCTCAGTGTTGACTGTCTACAGGAATTGACAGACAGCCCCCCACACACAATATGTCAGCAGCGTCAGATGTTTGGTCCTATTATCCCAATCTGCTTTTCTTTTCCTGATCCTCTCTCTGCAGCCGGGGGGCGCTGCTGCTTTCCTGAATCATAAATTTTACGCTTCCAGTTGGGTCAATACAGGTCAGTTTATTCATTTGTGTTTTTTTTATACAGAAAGAGAAACGTTCAAAATGATGAGCTGAAAATCTAGTTTCTGATTTCATTAAGTGACATTAAATACATCTTTGGCAGCGGAGGAAACAGGCTCCGCCTCCTGATCTACCCAGACATCCACAACACCACAATACAGATTACAAAACATTCAGTTGCACTAAAATAGAAAACTGTACATCGCAAAGTTCTATCAGGTATGTACAGACAGGAAGTAAAAAACAGGAAGTAGCAAGACACTGACATCAAACAGGTAGTGATGTTACTCTTTCAGGGATGAATAGGAAGTGATGTCATAAAAAACAAAACAAAACGAGACTTCATTGTCAGGGAGGTGAACTCGAGTCAAGAAGCGATCAATTAGATGGCACTTCCTGTACTCAGAGCAAATGGAGGAGTTTGCAAAAACGAGGGCTCAATTGGTGAAGATAGAGGCGGGCTCTGTGGGCGGAGCCTACATGTTCCTGTGGAGGAACCAGATCTCGTTCCGGCGCCGCGGCGCCGCAGGGTTGTCGTACGCAGCCACCATGTAGCGGTTGCGGTGGAAGCCATCGCTGACGCCGAGGAGCTCCCAAAGGAGGCGGATCTGCGAGCTCACAGTCTGCTCTGTGGTCGTCCCATAGAACGTCCTGCAGCCAATCAGAGCCAGAGAGCAGTCAGGTGACGGGAAGCTGATCTAAAGCTCAAATCTCAGCTGGAGGGGGAGGGGCCTCACCTTGCGATTACTCTGAATGGTTCCCTGTGGGTGATGGTGATGTCAGAGTCCAAGGATTGCGGCACATTACTCTGGAATCTGGCAGGAAGGAAGAATGCCGTCTCAACTTTCTTCTCAAACGTCTCACAGTCCTGCATCTGAATGCTGCTGACGACTGGTACAGTCATCCCCAGGTACTGACCTGTGGACCACCAGCAAGAGGCTCTGTGATGTCTTCCCAAACGCTGCGCTGTGAGTTAGTGGGCGGGGCCTTACCTGAAGAGTTCTCCTTGCAGATGAAGCGCATTAGCTTCATGAAAGCCAGCGAGATGCTCTGCTCGTACAGCTCCTCCCCGCGAGTCACGCTGACCCAGTTCCCTGCTGGGTAGATCCGCTCCTCGTACAGAACCTCGCCCATCTGGACCAAAAGCAGGGATGCAGACAGACCTCAGAGGGATGCATCACCATGGTAACAGCAAAGCAAGCCGAACACATTTTTTTACCCATTAGTTTTACAAGATCCAGATTTGTTCTTGTTCTGATGCAGTAGTGATAACCAGAGCTTAGCCGCTGGTTTGGACTACAGGTGTTAGACAGAACTTAGAACTGTGGTTCTGTTGAGCTACCTTCTCATGGCGGGAGAGGACGCCGAAGGGGAGGGGCTCCGTCTGCTGGCTGTTTCGTGTCATTTCCTGGATGGGTCCGGTCATCTCTGGAACACGGTACCAAAAAAGTGAGAAACAAAAGGTTCTGATTGGAGCAGCAGCATGTAGTCCTGATCCCTCACCTGCAGGAACCGACACCTGGTGGGTGCTGGCCACAGCCTGCCAGTGGCTCAGCAGCCGGTCTTGCTCCTCTTCGGCCATTGGCTCAGGGGCATCACTGATGTCATCATCCAGCTGCTCGTCATCCAAACCCTCGAGATCCTCCAACGAGATCAAGGCCATCCTGCAGGCGATGTCGTTTAGGAAACTGGCTCTTTGGACCTGACAGACCATCAGAGAGCAGGAGAAACACTTTGGATGATTCTGGAAGAGAATCCCCTCCTGACCAGCAGGGGGTGTGGGTGGTTTTGAATTATTTGGATTATTTCTAATATTTGTAAGTTTTTCTTTTGTTTCTTTTTTTTTTTAGAACTGTGGAGACATTTCTAGAGGTAAAGCAATCAGGGACAGGGCCGGTACTGTTTTTTTTAAGAGCCTGAAAGTCGAGATATACCAGATAAACATTTTTTTACTAAATGAAAACTGTATTATATACTATGGGTATTTGTTTCAGACTTTATTTATGCTGTAATTGATGGGAACTTAAATAAAATCCTTGTTTGTACCACAAGTTTGGCCAATAAACTCGTTTGTGGTCCGTCCTCAGGGGCGGGGACAGCAAAATTGCGTCCCTTCTAGGCGTGCGCATCGTCGTTCAATGCTGCAACTATAAACCAAGCTTCAAGATAAGATGTTCAAATATCAGTCATACAGGATGAGAGAGAATAAACAAGACAGTCCTTCTTAAACATTTTATTGGCCAACAGAGATTAACTGGTGCTTTTAGGTCTTGGGTTTATCTTTCTCTGATGATTCTTAGGTTCTTAAACAAGTAAACATCGGAACCAGTTTCAGAAATAACTGCCCTTCTTCTCTGAGTAGGAAGTAGATCCTATGATACTTTTTACTCTTTTTTTTTTTTTTGCTTCAGAAGAGCAGAAATTAATAAGGTACCTTATTAAGAGGAGTTTTTCCTCTCCACTGTCGCTACAAGCATGCTTAGTGTGAGTGATTGTATTTGAGTCAATGAGTCGATGCAATCAACTGGTTTTCCTTAGATAGAAAACTTTTATTCAATTTGATTGTATGATCTGGTTGAACTGTAAAGTACCTTGAGATGACTTGTGTTGTGAATTGGCGCTATAGAAATAAACTGAATTGAATTGAATTAAACTTGGCATCAAATCACGAGCAGATAAAAAGCCCTCATCAATGGATACGGATAACATGATTCACCATGGCAACGGGACAGAAGGCTCAGTTTGTGGCAACACCCCCAGGGCAGAGGGAATGAAAGGAAAGTGGTTGTAGTTATTCAAGAATTGCTGTTTTCTTATCGGTTAAAGGGAGCGAATAGTTGGCGTTTCTTCCAAACTTTTGTCTCAGATTTTTCCGTTCTGGACACTATTGTTTTATGTGTGCATTAAATCCATGTGTAGGTACAACATAACAAGCAGGAATTAAAGATGTAATCCCCCAAATGTAATGTGTAGCAGGCCATCTTCTTCTGCCATAATTTTGTACTTTAGGCTAAGGATGTCTTGATCCGATATTAATATTGGCAATCAGTCAAATATCCGCCAAAAAATACAATAAAAATAATATCACAATATATTGGCCTGCCTCTAAAATCCAGGTTATTAGAAAGCTCATAGAACCACTTTGTTTCAATCAGGTTTAGTTTAAAGTTTATGTTACTTTTTGGTGAATAACTAATGGCCCAGTTTTTCTCAAATCTGATAAGTATTTTTCTCTCTGCTTGAGAATCATCACTTCATCAAGCCTCATCATCATTTTCTAAAAGTATATATGATTTGTACTGACATTGGTCAATATCACTATCAGTCAATACTCAGAGCTCAGGGATTGACGTTGAGGATTTTTACCACTTGCCCT